GCAGTATGGAGGACCGAAACTGACATAATTAGAAATAAAAGCGGAAATAGATAAATGAAACTTTAAATAAAATAAATAAATATATTCTAAATGCACCAAATAAAGTAAAAAGGTGAACTTTACTTCGTTTTAAAATTTAATTGACCTTCATATTTATTTTTCCAGATCAGTTCCAATAAATTATATATTTTATCACATAATTTAAATTTTAATGTTTTTTAATATACATTTTACATAGTTTCTCCTTTTACTTGTACATACATTTGTGTGTCTTAAATGTTTATATTTAATTATTTAATTTTTTTCCCAACAACTCACTTTATTTCTATGTGTTGCATGCTTGTGCTGCTGCAGTTTAGCTTAAAGTTTAGTTAAAAATAAATGCACAGGTAATATTTTCCTCCTTGTCTTTGTTTTAAACTAAAATTTAAAGTTTTAGCTAAACTGAGGCAGCACAAGCATGCAACACATAGAAACAAAAAGACTTGCTGGAAAAAAAATAATTAAGTATAAACTTTTAAGACACACAAATGCATGTACAAGTAAAAGGAAAAACAATTAATATATATTTAAAAAAAAAAAGTAAAATTTAAACTATGTGTTCAAATATATAGACTAAATTATTGAAACTAACCTGGAAAATTTTTGGTCCTCTGTACTGCAGAAGCTTGATAATCATCTATTCAGTCATATCAGGTGTGTTGGAGCAGAGAAACAAGTAAAACATGCAGGGCTGTGGCCCTCGAGGACCAGGATTGCCCATGCCTGGTCTACATGAAGGTAGAATTGGAAAACAAAAGCAGGTGTTTGACCCGCACCCCCTCCTCTTGTGTTTGTTTCCTCAGGATTTAAAAATAAGAAGTCCATTAAGACCAAGTACAGGATGCCTTTGTTGAACTGGCAGGCTCTAAAACCGAACCAAGTTACCGGCACGGTCTTCAACGAGCTCGACGACGAGCAGATCTTAGAGGTAAGAGCCCACAGATCAAAGCCTAAAGCAAGTGTGGTTTGGAAGTGACTTTTGAAATGAAACCGACTCATTTTGTGCTTCCCATCTCTGCCTCTCGTTCCGCCTCCATCAGGAGCTGAACATGGACATGTTCGAGGAACAGTTCAAGACTAGAGCCCAAGGAAATCCAGCAGATCTATCCAAGATCAAGACAAAGACTCAAAAGGCCCCCAGCAAGACGTCACTAATTGACGCCAACAAAGCCAAGAATCTGGCGATTACTCTACGCAAGGGGGCGATGGACCCGTCGGCTATCTGCACTGCCATAGAGACGTATGTGCTTCTCATTTACCATTTATTATAACCCTTTGATTTCACTCGTACAAACACTGGTTCTTCTCTCTCCAGATACGACCAGCAGTCCCTGTCCATAGACTTCCTAGAACTGCTTGAACACTTCATACCGTCGGACTTTGAGATGAAACTCCTGGTCAACTATGAGAAAGACGGCCGTCCACTAGAAGAACTGACGGACGAAGACAGATTTATTCTACGCTTTGGGAAGATTGCTCGCCTGAGCCAGCGGATAAAGACACTGACTTTTATGGGCAACTTCCCTGAGAGTGTCAAACGCCTGCAGCCGGTCAGCTTGTGAAATGATGATTTAGAACCTAGCGTGGAGCAGACATAAACCCAATATATTAATGATGTTTTTTTTAATCCACAGCAACTGAACTCCATCATTGCTGCGTCCATGTCTATTAAATCTTCCACTAAACTGAAAAAGATCTTAGAAGTAAGTAGAGWTTTATAGAAACACGAATGCAGCTTTGAATTTGACATGTTTTGCATTCATTTCATGCGTTTCCTTTAAGATCGTCCTCGCCTTTGGGAACTATATGAACAGCAGTAAGAGAGGCGCAGCCTACGGTTTCAGGCTACAGAGCTTAGATCTCGTAAGTAGCTTCTGYTTGTGGGTTTATGCTCGCATTTGAATCAAAATCTGAATCWGTTTTGYCATTGGTTTTGTCTTTCAGCTGCTGGAGACTAAGTCAACAGACCGCTCACAGACGCTACTCCAGTTCATAACCAGCATCATCCTGGAAAAATACTCGGACCTGGCCAACTTCCACACTGACCTTCACTTTATAGACAAGGCAGCTCTTGGTACATCCACGTGCCCGGACCTCGGATCAGTCATCCAGCTTCTTTATCTGGGAAAACCTCTTTAAACTCTTTTTGTGTTTCTTYAGTATCCCTGGACGGCATTCTTCAAGACATCCGTTCATTAGAGCGAGGAATGGAGATGACCAAGAAGGAGTTCCTGGTGCAGGATGACAGTCCTGTGTTAAAGGAGTTCATTAAAACAAACAGCGAGCAGCTGGATTCGTTGATCAAAGACAGCAAAACAGCACAGGTTGGCCTTTTGTAAATGTCAAAGCACGCATGTTGCCYTAAAAATCTATAAACCTGCTCACAYATCGTTCTTCCTTCAGGAGGCTTATGCTTCTGTTGTGGAGTATTTTGGAGAAAACCCCAAGACGACGCAGCCTTCCATGTTTTTCCCCATGTTTGGACGCTTCGTAAAGGCATATAAGGTGAGTGTGTTTCTAATTGTGTATACGTATGTTATAATTAGGGATGCACGATATATCGGCATTACTTTTGGTATTGGCCGATGTTAGTAATTTTTTAAGAATATCAGTATCGGTCCGATCAGTAAAACTGGTCAATATTAATATCTGATATTGATTTCCCACTTTTTAGCTTTGTGTTTCTGTTTCAATAGGGGAGATGTTTGGTTGAGTGGTATTTGTTTGATCATGATTGTGTTAGTGAAGCTGCACAGCAATGAATAACTGAAGTAGAGAGCCATGTCAGCACTTTGGTCATTTTTTTTACAATATCAAAAAAAAAGGACAAGTGTTTGTGCGTATAAATATATGAATAATATGTGTGTTTGCATAATATCGATACATATTGGTTATCGGCCATAACACCAATAATAATAATATCGAATATCAACATCAGTTGATATTTTCATGTCGGTGCATCCCTAGTTACAACTGTTATTGTTATTAAACACTATAAATCTCCTCCTGTTGCTGTTTGCAGACAGCACAGCAAGAAATAGAGCAGAAAAAGAAAATGGAGACGGAGGCGAGTGAGGTGAAAGAAGCACCATCTCCAAACAAAGCTGGAGGACAAAAGGTAAATCAAAATCACATCAAAAAGTTTATTAAAAACTTTAAGTTCTGTGACAGAATGCATGTCATCCACCCAGTTTAGATAATCTTCTAGGTTATGGCCATTTTGGTCAAGCCTTGAAAACAACATTATGCACAAGTTATAGGCCCATATTAAATTATTTTAATATATATAAAACAGCTCCAGAGAGAAAAATAATCAGATTTCTTTGGAAAACTATTTTAATATTTGAATATTTCCAGGGTCCCATGATGCCTAAAATGCCTCAGATGGATTTGATAGCCGAGCTAAAGAAGAAGCAGCTGAAACCTCCTGTGAGAGAGGGAAAAGACGGCGCTCTGGAGGACATCATCACWGGTAGAGTTTTCATTTTAGGCTTGTGTAATGGACTCTTTGTTTAAATTTAGTTAACTGTATATGTTTTGACTTTTCCTCAGATTTAAGGAACACACCGTACAGACGGACAGATGGACGTCGACCTGCTCAGCGCCAGGACACCTGAGTCCATTTTACTGAGATTTCTTTTGTTTGAATTAATGTAATTAAACTATCACGGTTAGATGTAGAAGCTAAATTTACCAACATTCTGATGTACTGTATTAAAATGAGTTGTATATATGATATGGCATAAAGGTATGACCTTTTGGTAAYTAACAATATTTCAGTGTAAATAGAAGTTGAACATTTTATCAGCAATAACAAKTTTAAAAACTTTGATGCACACATTACAAAACTATTTGTGTATTATGTATGATCTAAATTTTTAATACAGTTTGCCAATTAAGTAATGTAAAAGAATGACTTTTAAATGACCTTTTAAATAAGTAAACTCATTTTTTTGTAAACCACGTTTTTTGTATGTGTTGATTTTAAAATCAAAGTCACAAAAGCAGGGTTAGCTGTAGCCATTTTTCAAAACTCACTGCCAGTTTACATACATTCACATACCAAATTAAATAGTTTTGTCTTTGATATTGATTTTTTTATCTTTACAAACCAGGTTGTCCAATTAAAATAGTTGATAATATTAATCTGAAACAGAATATCAGAAGTATACCTCATACCTGATGACATCTGCTGACAGCAATGAGGAACACCTGTTCATGTTAACCAGCAGCTGTGGAGTGAAGCAGCTCTAGGGCAGTCCAGGAGAATACTCCCCCTGGAAAATTTAGTAAAATATCTACTCAAAACTCTGCATTTTCCAGTCATTTGAAGAGATTTTACTAAATTCTTGGGATTAACACAAAAAAACAACAACATAAAAACTGTATTTTATGAAGGTAAAACCAGGCACAGCTCATCCATAAAAGCAGGTGGGGCACAGTCCCACCTAAAACAAAATTCATCCTCCCCCCCAAAGTAGTTCCTCCTAATAAACACTGTAAAATGCTTATTTACTCAGAGTGCCATATATTTTTTGTTCTGTGTGCTTTTCGATTATTTTTGACAAATTAAAATTTGAAATGTTTTACAGTGATTTTTCAGGTTTTTATTTATTTACAGCCATAGGATGGAACAGTCTGATGCCCTGCGTTTCTATCATGTTAATATACCCTGCTGGYAATAATCGATACTATCAACTCCTCTGAATAGAGTGTCACTGGGGTGGTAAAAATCCTGCCCTATGAATACTTTCTGCTGGTTTTAATGCATTGATACAAACAGTAAACCTAACATGAGCTCATAAAAGACAGGATTAGCACTCAGCAAAACTTGTGTCCAACTGAGGAGGCGATATTCTGTTTAAAAATGTATTTGGAGAAGACAAAGCAAGATTGAACCTGAACACCAAAACAGAAAATAAAAGTGAACGAGACATTTTTTTTTTATTTTGCTAAGAAGATGGGACAGTTTTCAACCTAATCTGTGGTGACTGTGTGTGAATTACTGGGCTCAGTTTGTGCTAATATGGAGCTGTGGTCATGAAATCATCTGTCTGAGTTTGAGACTTGGAGGATGCATAGCTCAGTTTTTTTTAACTTTCATAATTAGAATTATTTCACAAGACGTCTTGCCCCCATTTAATGTTGTTCATCTGGAGTTTTATTGCGGAATATTATTCTCAGAAATTTCTTAGAAATCTAATCCAAAAAGCTGTGTATACTAGCTACCTGTCTGATCAATTTCACTAACAATTAAAATACAAAATAAGTTTGGGTGGGAGGCTTTTTTGCTGATATAATGTCCGGACAATTAAAAAAATTTTTTTTTACAAGACAACCTATGGTGAGGGAGAAAAACGATGACAACTTTGTGCACAAATAAGTAASGTAGYCTATATATTTTTCACAGAAATGCTGCAAATTGTAACATTCCTAATTTCCCTATGGGATCAGTAAAGTATTCTTGAATTGAAATGAATTAAATTGAATTTGTGTTGATAGTGATTTAGGAAAATAATGTCCGTCCCACCGATTTTTATGCTCATGAGCCGCTATTGGGTAAAACACTAATCAAGTTACCTTCATCAAACCTGAGTAATCAGATAATATATATATATATAACTTGTTGTTGCTAATTTGTGGCTCCCCCTAGATGGACAGCCCCTCTAGCAGGTGCCTATACTGCCTATGCCACAGGCCGGCTCTGCWCAAAAGCTGAAAAAAAAGAAAGCATGATCAGACTGTACAAGAGAGCTGCACTTTATTAGACACACAATCACAGCAAATTATGTACAAAAGAAGGCAGGTTCAAGTGCCTGCTGTCTTCTCACAGGGAAAAACAAAAACAAACAAACAAAAAAAACAAAAACAAAACACACACACGTTTCTCACAGAATATCATGGCATCCACACTGATAAATTAGTATCTCCGGTATCGGTAGGCTTTTTAAATCGATATATTTCATATAACTGATTTATTTTCTGTAATATTTTTGTTCTTATATCACACTACTCTACAAATAGGAGAATCCCTCTGTGGAAAGAGTACACCTTCACTGCTGGGGTGCGTTCAAGCAGTTGGACTCTTTTCAACACCATCATCATCATCATCATCATCATCATCAGCAGCAGCAGCAGCAGCAGCAGCACATAACTCCACAGTAAGACTGAACATGCCTGTGTCACAGAAACCAAAAGAACAGACCATTCTCTGTGTTTGTAAACCTCAAACATACACAGCCACGTTTCCACCTTTATTTCTTTCTAATATCCGTAAAACATGTAGCAACATTTTATCTAAACTGCACCGTGCGTTTGCTTGAGACTATACATGCAATGTTTTTGTATATACCTTTGTACCCATTTTCATAATTAATAATAAAACATCTTCTTTTAGATAGAACAATTTGCTGAATGAATCCGTCTATTTACACATCAATTTTATTTTTCTACTTTTTGATGCCAAGTTTTTTTGTTGTTTTTTTGTTCTTTTGAACATCCACACATTCATGTAAAAATCTCATATACATACAACAGAATGCAGGTCAATAATAGTAATATATATAAAAAAAGAGAACATGGCAAAAAGGAAAGATGAAATTTCAAGTTTAAACTCATAAATCCCTCATAAATCCATCTTCACTGCTTTTTTTTATTTAGATGCTACTTAGAGCCACACAGTGGAGCAGGAGTATCCCACCTTTCAGCATCTTTGTTCACATGTAAATCTGACACAAGGCCTCACATGAGCTCATTTCACAATTACAACCCTTTCTTGGAACTATCTCCWGTGTCACTGATACCACTTTAATCACAAATACAGAATGGGTGAAACGGGTGATAAGAAACAAACAAACAAACAAAAAAAAAAAAAACAGATAAAATGATAGTAGCAAAATAAGTCTCTACAAACAGGCACTGGTCCAGCATCTTCACCTTCCCGTTAGGAGCCGGAGGTGCAGATGAGCTGGACAAGCATTGTCAGGAACAAACGTCTCAGTTGTCATAAATACACATAAATTCTAATTGGTGTTCAGAAAAGAAAACCCTGGAATTTCAAAATGAACTTCAAAGTATATTACAGAGCCTAACAATTCTCTTTACAGATATTTTAAACAATATAAAAATGTTCTGCATATGAATAAATAATCTCAGTGTGAAATGAAATATCTCTCTTAATGAATTAGAAAAGAAACAACAAAAAAAAGAAATCTGTACAAAATGGACACTAATATAGAAATCAGAAGAGGTGATGACATTTTACAGTTTGTTATTTATTCTAGGCCTAAATATATATTTATATCACATTTTCTCCACAATGATATCATACACAGACATCTCACTTAGATGTATTTATATATGTATATTTCTCCTATCTTTTAGTTTCAAGWTTGAGTTTTTTTTTCTTTCTGATTGCCAGAGACGTCCGCTGAGTGTGCTCAACATGCCTGAAGCCTCCAATCATGTTGAAATCACAGCCCACCAACACTCATCCTAAAAATAAAAAGTCCAGAGGGATCGTCATGCGTTTATGCGGGGGGAGTTCATGAGTTCATCTCCAGCTTTATTCGGAGGGGGTGGGGGTAAAACTATCCAAACTGCAAGCTTCCTCCTTGATGCTCAGCAGATGCACATGCAGCAAACTGAACTGAGAGTGAAACAGCAGCACGTGCATTTCTCTGATTTAACCCCGCCCAAAACAAATCCAGAGCATTCAGTTGTCTGTGCTGTCAGTTTAGAGCTGGAGGTCTGTTCAGACAAATGGCACCTCACTTATTGGATTTTTTTATGACGTTCTCCCAATATTTTTGTTGCGAAAACCGAGGGAGAACCAGTTTTCTCAGCCTTCTCTTTGGGTAAAAGTAATATGTCAGTGCTGCTAATATAACACTTTAAAGCAAAAATCATTCTGGGATTTTCTGGCAAGAAAGTCTTACAGGCACTGGGTAAAAAAAAAACAGGTTCTTGAAGACAAACAGGCTGGAATATGATAAAGGCAAAGAGCAGTGCATTGGTTAAAAAAGCAGGAGCACTAATTACATATTGCACGTGTTGCTTGGATGCGAAGCCCATCGAACATGGTCCTATAACCAACACAAACAAGCCGTTTTTTATTTCAAGAGACAACCTACAAAAAAAGAAAAAGCACCATGCAGTAAATGACAGGGAGAGAATTGTGTCTTTTTTGAGCCTTCCTCTCATATCACAACTCTCCATGGAGTCAAAGCTGGCCTTATTAAAGCAGCAGCCTTCAAACTCATGCCTCTCACAAACCCCAGGTTTTTATCTTGATGCCGAAAAAAAAAAAAACACAAAGTCATTCGATGAAGCAGCAATAAGCAGAACATTAAATGTCGTTTCATTTCAAAATGCTTGTGAAAAGTTTGACTTGAAGCATTTTTTTGCAGCGTTGTGCTCATAAAATTTAACCAGATTCAGAAAAAAAGTTAAACCCTTGCTCCCAAAACATTGGGGCAGTTATTTACTCATTTTAACCCTTAATTTAGTCAAATAAGAGTAGAAAGACAATACTGAAAAAGACACTTAAAAAACCTGTTTGATTTCGATGCCAGAAACTGGGAGGTTATTACCTTTGTGTTGCATCATTTATTCTTTTAGTAACACCAAATACTGAGAAAATTAACTGTGAAATGCTCCTTTTTTCCCTCTTGATATGTTAACTTAATAGCTTACTTTTACTGCTTTTGTGCACAAAATGTTTCCAGAAGAATGGACGACTGAATAGCTTATAGTCTAAATTATTTTTCTTTTTCTACAGATTCTCACAGTTGTAACACTTTAAGCATCATCTTGTAGAAACTGTATGGATGCTGACGTAGTTTTAATTAAAAAACTTGTAAGTATATATATTTTTTGAGCATATTTTATTATTTCTTAGTTTTTGCCATTTATTGGATGACTGAAATCTATATAAATTTTTAATATCAGTTTTGTTTACCYATAACAAACTTTTTTTCAAACGACGCTGGCATCAAATTCAAAATAAATGTATTAAAAAATGTTCAAATTTATTGTTCTGCCTCCATTATGCTGTATTTGTTGCCAGTTAGGAGGGTTGAAGGGTTTCATAATGATAAAAAAAGATAAAGAAGAGGGATTTTGTGTGCTTTTGTTACATTTTCATATTCTCTTCTGAGTCCTTAAAGGGCCAAACAATATCTGACAAGAAAATTTGTGCTGATTAACGTTCTTTGTCTTCGAACGTTAAGTGCTGTCAGCTCATTAAAGTGAGAGATAACGTGCAAACTACAAAAATAATAATAATAATTWAAAAAAAAAACTCTGGGCGCTTCATAGCAGGTTAACTTTGAGCATCAAATAAAAAGCAAGTGTCTCATTAAAAAGACATCTRTTAGTCTGTAGATCACAATCTTTTTCAGGGAAAAATGTTCTGGTCGATGTGGCAAATTTCACCCGAGTACTCGTTATCAGATGCAACTTAACATAAAATGTGACAAGATTCACTAGAAAAATTAAAAGGAACAACAAGAAAAAGGCAAGTCTTTGCTGTACAACTTAGCTTTTGAAGTGCGTGTGTGACAATGTGTGTGTGTGTGTGTGTGTGTTTGTGTGTGTTTGAGTCTTTGGGATGATTTTGACGTCGGGTTGCTAAAATGTGAGAGCAACCTGTAAGATGCTACTGTGGAAACATCCTGATTGTCACAATGAAGTCATTAGCACACATACAGAACATGTGGATGCAAGTCATCGTTTGGATTTCCCCCCCTTTCTGTTTGTTTCACCTGTAAACAGCTCATTGTAGTGTGCTTTTACACGTATACTGCCAGTTTTCATTTTAGCCAATCAGTTAAAAAAGTCTCTTTTTGTAGATGCAAGGATCACATTTGCAGAGGTGCATACAGATATTTAAATGCAACATGAAATTAAAGCACTGTAAGATAAAAGTGACAATCATTTGAACTCTTAATTTTGTACAAATGGGGAAAATATAGCACCAATTCAAAGTTTAAAACTCAGCTAACGCAAAAAACAAAAGYATTAAATGACATTTTACACCAAACAGCTCAAACCACAATCATCACCTTCTTTTTTTGTTTCGTTTCCTAAAAGCAGAGTCATTCTGCCAGGTTAGAGCGACATTATCCTAAACATATATATTTAACTATTGGACTCACTTGGTGATTATTGCAACTCTATTTTCTATAATCACAGTCTAGATATGTTCACTATAGCACTAACAGCCCACGGGAACAAAGGGTGTGTGAGAATAGAGCCAGCCTCAGCAGCTTTTAGCAGGCAGCTGGCGAACGGGAGGCCTGTCTCTGTGCTCGCTGCTGGGGGAACTGGCAGCACGACTGCGTGGGAGAACTGCAGAGAAACTGTGGAACCAGACTGGAGTAGAAATCGTGTCCAAGATGAATATAGAGTTTGTTTTAGAGGGGAATCGTAAGGAATGCAGCCTCGAGTGAATCCAACGTTGGAAATTTTTTTTTAAAAAAGTAACAGTAAGAGTATATCAGTAAAAAATAAAATCAGTTCATGGCTGATGATGCTTCTCGGCTTTCATCCTCTCCGGTTGCTAAAAGTTGTCGCCATCCTTGCAGTTCCTGGGTTGTTGGGGGCTGTCGAGGTTTCGTTTGCCGGGCTTGACAACGCCAGAGGAGAAAGCAAAGGAGCCCAGAGGAGTGGGARAGGAGGGCGACGGGGATGAGGTAGGGGTGGTGGGGGAGGAGGAGGAGGAGGGGGGAGTGGAGGACTGGCTGCTGGGAAGAGACGAGGCCCGCTGCTCGCGCAGGAGGCGGCGCTGGCGGAGGGCGGAGGACAGGAGCAAGGCTTCGGCGGTCAGGCCGGAGGCCGACAGGCTCGCCAGGAGGGTCCTGGCCTGGCTCGAGGAAACTGCCAGGGAGGGCGCTGCCCCCTCGTAGGGGCACCTCCTCGGGCCGGGGGCAAACGCCGCTACGGGAGGGGTCGCTCGACCGGAAAAAACGCCCGCTTTGAAACCGGAGAGGAACGGTTCGGTGGTTCCAGTGCCGTGGGTGCCCGAGGCCTTCAAGCAGAGCGGGGACACAGAAGATGGGAGGGGGGGGAGTGGGGGAGGGGTGTAAAGAGATGAGGTTTTCAGGGGTCAAAGTGGGGAAATCATAAAAAAATTGAAGGCTTAAAAATTGGTTGTGGCTGGGCAGTGCTTCCTGCAGCATCTGTCTCCATCATTACACTCAAACATGCCTGCGTGAGCATGCTTGCACTCACACACACACACACACACGGTCGTGGACTAATGCACAAAGTGGGTTTTAGAGCATATTTTGGATTCAACACCGGAGACGGGGAAAGGGGTTGGTTAAAGTGGGCTGATTATTGTGCATCTCTCTAGGTGGGTGAACGGGAGGAGGAGGAGGAGGAGGAGGAAGCTGAAGAGGCTGGACACAGACGGGTTGTTCACTGCAGCGGGGTTAGAGGGGCGGGCCGGCAGGTGAAGGGCACCACCGGTTCACACGAGGAGATGGGACGGGGGGGAGGTTGCATCACACGTGTCAGAAGAGGGAGGGGGGTAAAAACAGAACAGGAGACAAACACATGAGATTGTTATTCAGGTCGATGTCAGCATGTGATGAAAGCCATGACACAGGCTAGCATCTGTACATGATGACCAAACCACTGATCCCACTGATAACACACTGTTCACTGTTTACTGTTCACTGTTTACTGTTCACTGTTTACTGTTCACTGTTTACTGTTCACTGTTTACTGTTCACTGTTCACTGTTCACTGTTTACTGTGACCGGCTGGCTAATCATCGTCCTTCTTTGAGAAAAATACAGATGAACACACACAACCACACTTTCATGTAATGCAGGAATCAGTCAGTAGATGGCAGTGTTTCAGCACGTGGAAACAGAAACATGATTTAGTTTCTGAAACTAAAACTTTTTAATCAGAAACAATGGCAGGTCTAGAATTTTATCTTAGTTTGGCAAASGTGGGGATTAAAGCTACGGAAAGTGGGCAGAGATTATCGTCACAGGAAAAATTTGTTTTTAGACTTGATTTTATTCAGGTTAATTGTCTGAGCATAAAATAAATACAAATTAAATAAAATAAAACTTAACCAAGGGCTGCAACTTCAGATTCAGTACAGACTCAGATAAATATTTGACCTCAGACATTTGTAT